GAAGATATCATTACAAAATGAACAAATCTGAGAGAGGTCGACATGTAGTACCTATATATGTAATATCAAAGCAATTGGACTTGTGGTTTTCAACAAGAAGTCGAAAATATCACTTTTTACCAAAAATGAAAAAATATTCACCAAAATTAGAGAATTAAAGATATCATTACAAAATGAACAAATCTGAGAGAGGTCCACATGTAGTACCTATATATGTAATATCAAAGCAATTGCACTTGCGGTTTTCAACAAGAAGTCGAAAATATCACTTTTTACTAAAAATGACAAAAATATTCACCAAAATTAGAGAATTGAAGATATCATCATGAAATGAACAAATCTGAGAGAGGTCTACCCAAGGTACATATACACCAAGTATCAAAGCATTCAGGCTTGTAGTTTTCAAGAAGAAGTCGAAAAAGTAAAACATTGACACGGACGACGGACGACGGACGACGACGACGGACGACGACGACGGACGACGACGGACAATCACTCATATGATAAGCTCCGCTCGACAAAGTCGACAGCGGAGCTAAAAATGAATACAGCACCATAAAATGCATATTTGGCCATTTTAGTATCAATTTAAAAAATGGAAAGACATTTTTTATCAATATATAAAATACCGTTTTATTTATGTGAAAAATATGATAGTTTGTTAGGTCAAAACTTACCTCAAAGAATGTATCCATATAAGGCAAAGACATGGTGCAAAATGCCAAATATGGACAAAATCATGAATATTTTATGCATGAATAAATACTTTATCAATGTATAGGTAGGACAGTGCTATATAGTATAGCACATTAGTCAATGAATAAATTATCAAGCCATAAAAGGAATATGGTAATATTGCTAACTTCCGAATATGGTCAAATAGTGTATTCTTCTATGAATAAATTATTAACCCACGTAAAGTAGATTTCCTAATATGGTGTACCATGTTAGCCCAGTTGTTTATCAAGGATTCATATAACATAGGACAGGACATATTTATTTCCAAATATATTAAGGCATCTTTTATGAATAAATTGTTCCATATAAGGGAGGATTGTAGTGCTAACTTCCAATTATAGTATGGTAACTCAGTTGATGAATAAATTATTCCATATAAAGAAGGGTTGTAGTGCTAACTTCCAAATATAGTATGGTAACTCAGTTGATGAATAAATTATTCCATATAAGGGAGGATTGTAGTGCTAACTTCCAATTATAGTATGGTAACTCAGTTGATGAATAAATTATTCCATATAAAGAAGGGTTGTAGTGCTAACTTCCAAATATAGTATGGTAACTCAGTTGATGAATAAATTATTCCATATAAAGAAGGGTTGTAGTGCTAACTTCCAAATATAGTATGGTAACTCAGTTTATGAATAAATTATTCCATATAAGGGAGGATTGTAGTGCTAACTTCCAATTATAGTATGGTAACTCAGTTGATGAATAAATTATTCCATATAAAGAAGGGTTGTAGTGCTAACTTCCAAATATAGTATGGTAACTCAGTTTATGAATAAATTATTCCATATAAGGACGGGTTGTAGTGCTAATTTCCAAATATGGTCTGAACAGCTTTTAGATTCTATATACATGCATGTAGAAGCATATAATCTAATTTATTTTTCTATTTCCCAGGAAAAAAAAGGAGGGTGCATGCTGCATTGCTTCCCAAGTGGAAAACAACTATATAGTCACTAAATGATGGGTTGATTCAGTTTTACAATAACAATAGCTAATACTGTATAATGTGCACAAATGTGAACAAATATTTTAAATATTGGCATTTCTAGACAAAGCCAGTGAAGTATAAATTACATCACACTAAAGAAAAACAAAAAAACATTTGACTGTGACAAAAACAGAAGATGAGCAAATTTTAAAATGTCACATTTATTCAAATGTGAATGTGTATTTACATATAACCATATTTGCATGAATTTATGCTAACTATCATTTACATATTCATTTATGCAAATCGATTCTGTACATAAAGACAACATTTTAAACTGAATACGACCATAGTAGGTAAATTTATACCATTATATGTTTTACTTTGCAACAAATCAGTAATATTTGAAAATATTAATTTTTATGCACAAAAAAAATCCCACCTCATATCTTTGTTTTATTGCACTTTACAATTCAATATACATTTTATCTTCCACAGCAAAATAAAAAAAAAAAATGAACATTTACTCTAATTCTAAAACCTCCTTTCTACAGCAGATAAATATTAAATTACTGTCATTTACAGTTTGACAAACATACTTCTCTTGTTGTTATATATTAAATACTTTTCAATCAAAATACAATCTCAACAAACACTTTTGTCGGCCATGATGGATTTAGTACCTTATGGACGAGTTGACCTTTAACCTCAAAACAATAACTGTGCCAAACACGGAGCATGGGGGCGCTAGTTACTTTTCACCTCAATCACTTTATCAGTATGGTGAAGTTGCATTCCCATTTAGCAAATTTTTGAGGTGCCATCCTCTCAAGCAAGCCTACTAATTTATATAGATTAGTAAACAACAGAAACTCAGTCGAGTTATATATAGATGTATTTATCTAGGACAGGGAAATTAAGTCATCATTGAAGATTTTTTTTACAACTAAAACAGCGTTATTTGAACACAATTTTTAGCTTGTTCTAGGAGTGATGTCTTTTTAGCTAGCATGTCATTTTAGTTAATTTAGCTAACCTGTAATTTCGCTAATTCAATTTAGAATAAAGTATATTCTTACAATGAGATTATTGGCATTTTTGCTAAATTAAGATTTTGTTAATTCATGTATCGAGTCAAATTCGCTAAAATTGCATGTAGCTATTTTAGCGTGTTAACAATATTTGCAAAGTGGGAATGGAACTTTAAATCCAACATAGTTTGCAACCTAATGCACTAAGTGATTATACATGGTTGTAGCGCGGAGCATGTTTAGATGTCATGTAGCAATGTATTTTACATGAGTGCCATATCACACAGAATGCAGCACCACAATTATCGCTTTTACGTCACTGTAGTCAAACCCAAATATGACTCAGATGTGATATTGACTGACGATACTGGTAATTCTAAGTTGAAGAACCAAAACTAAAACAATAATGGTGAAGACGTATCAGAAGAATAGAAACAAGTACTAATTCCATTATAGCCAATTATATTGAAATTTTCTGCATCCATAAAAAAAACAGACACTTTTTGACAAACTGTACTGTAAATAGTTTTTGAGTACCTCTACGCACAGGCATACTAAAATGGCAGTGAACTTGATAATGACATTATGACGTTCTTAGAATGTTCATTCGTCATCTCAAGAATCTGTTTTTCATGCGGCATATCAGATACTCTAATTATGAAAATCAACTTTAATTCTCAGCTTATTTATCATATCATCTCCAAGGCAACTGTCTTCCAGTTCATTGGTTATTTTTCCAGTGTTGTCATTAAACGAGTTGAGAACTGCAGGAGTAGTGCTAGCAACCATTGCTATGGTCTAACCGCTATAAAGTTGATTCAATAGAATTATCAAGCGTCATGCTATTAAGACTAGATGAATCACTGTCGCTATGGCAATTTGGTGGTGTAGCGTAGTTAGCAGCTTCTTGCAGCCTAATTAGCATATTTAGCTAAAATAAAACAGAAACGATAGTATATTGGTAAATAATAATGTATAACGCCCCTTCTTTTGAGAGACAACAACAAATGCCTATTTTACACATATTAATACACTGTGATCAGGTGGCATATAACACAATAACAAAAATATGTATTCTGGTGCATTAAATAAAATAGTTCAAAGGGATGAAACAAATAATACAATGATTGGAATATGAGTAATTTTGTATGCACTGCAAGTGCTAAGACATGTACCATTTTACATGCACAATGTTGCTTAGACATGGGTGCAGTCTTGCAACAAATCTCTGACTGAAACAATGTCTTGTGCTGGTGTCCGGGTGATGATAGGTGTCAATGGGTATATGGTGGTAATGATACTGCAAGAAACTCCTGAAACAAACAAGGATGCGTTTCCGTGGTGTTGACTGCTATAGGGATCAAATCTTGGTTACACATGAAGGACATGCTTAGAGTGGAAGATAGAATACATGCATAGCAATGAACCAGTGGGATAAAGGAGACATTTTAACATCGCTGAACATTTGTTAAGACAAAGTACTTAAAATACATGTACATGAAAATGTCAGGGACAGGATAAAACAGGGATAATTTAATGCATGATCCAGTTGTCTTATTGAGGGAGCCTCGCAGATTTTGCATATTGATCAGATCCTGGTGATCTGGATTTGCCTCGACTGGTAAATAATTTGACTTTAATAAGGAGATCAACTGGAAGCAAGTGAAATGATTTAAATAACTGAAAATCTTGTTTTGTTTTCCTGTGATAGGCAATCATACAGACGTACCACCACTACTAGCATAGTAGACTATACCATGCATGTATTGTATTAAGTAAACAAGAAGACAATCATTGCATGCTACAATTGGATCCCAATTCTAAGCCAAATGAAACAGACAATAATAGGGATAAAATGGATTATACCAAAATAATCAAGAGCTTTAAAATTAGTTTTGAGAACTATGTGAAAAGCATTCATATTATAATGGCATCAGTAATCAGTCATTCCATTGTAATGTTAAACCCTTCTGGACAGTACAACAGTCACAATCAAACAGTGATGTCAGTGAGTCAATCTCGTGTTATGTTCATTCCTTCTGGACAGGACTGTATAACAGTCACAATCAAACAGTGATGTCAGTGAGTCAATCTCGTGTTATGTTCATTCCTTCTGGACAGGACAGTACAACAGTCACAATCAAACAGTGATGTCAGTGAGTCAATCTCGTGTTATGTTCATTCCTTCTGGACAGGACTGTATAACAGTCACAATCAAACAGTGATGTCAGTGAGTCAATCTCATGTTATGTTCATTCCTTCTGGACAGGACAGTACAACAGTCACAATCAAACAGTGATGTCAGTGAGTCAATCCCGTGTTATGTTCATTCCTTCTGGACAGGACTGTATAACAGTCACAATCAAACAGTGATGTCAGTGAGTCAATCTAGTGTTATGTTCATTCCTTCTGGACAGGACAGTACAACAGTCACAATCAAACAGTGATGTCAGTGAGTCAATCCCGTGTTATGTTCATTCCTTCTGGACAGGACTGTATAACAGTCACAATCCAATGGTGATGTCAGTGAGTCAATCTAGTGTTATGTTCATTCCTTCTGGACAGGACTGTATAACAGTCACAATCCAATGGTTATGTCAGTGAGTCAATCTAGTGTTATGTTCATTCCTTCTGGACAGGACTGTGCAACAGTCACAATCCAATGTGAATTGCATGATATATAAATATAACATCTACTAGGAATACTACTACATACTATGACATGCATGCTATTCATATCCACTACTGATTAGATTTATTAATAGCATTAGTGGCAGTCACTGGTTGCAGGAACCCATATTAAAACATAAGACAATGATCCCAACTTTGGAGTAAACAACAGGTGTCACATGTATGCTAATTAGGTGGACTAGTATGACTAATTTCTTCAATAGACACTGACAAGAGAAATTTGCTATTCAATTATTGAATAGGTAAGGCAAGTATCCATGAATTGTAAAAAATAAAGGTGGAGCTATTATTTGCATTGGCAGAATAGACAAATAGTATAACGTACATTTGGATGAACTTAATTCAACAGTTTTATTACCATTCAGTTATTTAAACTTTATGAACCATACACATCCTACTGTGTCCTTGGCTTGTCATGATATTTCTCACATTTAGAACTAAGATATCAAATACATTCTGAGACTGGTTTAGTGTTAGAGATAAAGAACACGGAAGAAACATTTTCATTGCTAAACACTTCTGAATTATTACCAAATTTGTTTTTTAGGCAAAGGATATTACCATTCAGTTATTTAAACTTTATGAACCATACACATCCTACTGTGTCCTTGGCTTGTCATGATATTTCTCACATTTAGAACTAAGATATCAAATACATTCTGAGACTGGTTTAGTGTTAGAGATAAAGAACACGGAAGAAACATTTTCATTGCTAAACACTTCTGAATTATTACCAAATTTGTTTTTTAGGCAAAGGATACACTTGTTGCTAAGGATTTTGATTGAATAGGTGTAAACTTTAAATTCATATTCTGATTATGATGCTGACGTAATTTATCCAGTGAATTTTATTAATAATCTGTATTAACCATATACTTTAAATATACATTTTAGTTTGGACACACCTAACCATATGCAGTCCCACTGCCTAGATTTTTGTGTGAACACACCTTACCATATATTGTCCCACAGCCTAGGTTTTAGTGTGAACACACCTAACCA